GCTTAGGCTGGGAAGTGCCTGCGCTCGGGTTCACATCAGCGAGCCTCGTGAGCCTTTTGCTTTTCCTGCTCTAGATCCAGGCGTGCACATCACGACGGAGTCTCACTTAGAGTGGAACCATTTAGCAGAACACATAGTTGTGTCGCTGGTTTTGTTTAAAAGTGTAATTTTTCTCTGGTTCCTTTTTTTGAGGGTTTATATAACACGGACATGCAAAAGACAAAAAGTAGGATAGTTTTGGATTGTAACTTTTAAAAAAATTATGTGATGCTCAAGCCCCTAAATAACATTAAGCATACACACTCACACGGAGCTATCTTTAGCGTAAGTGTTAACATTGGGAAGGTGGGAGGGGGCCGTGAAGCCGAGGGAACCCCCCTGCGCTGTGAAATGGGGCCTCTTTGCAGCACCCCCTTCTCTCATCAGACATGGCCCTGGGCTCCTCAGTGCCTGCAGTTTGGTTCACGATGTCCACACCTGTCTCTGTCCCCCTCCCTCCTGCCCTCCCTACCTACCAGGTGAACCTGGTCTCCGAGCACATCTGGTGCGAGGACTTTCTGGTGAGGAGCTTCTATCTGAAGAACCTGCAGACCAACGAGACACGCACCGTGACCCAGTTCCACTTCCTGAGTTGGTATGACCGAGGAGTCCCCTCCTCCTCAAGATCCCTCCTGGACTTCCGCAGGTATAACGCACAGCCCGCCGGCCGGGCAGTGTGCGCTGAGTGCGTGGCGGAGGGGGAGTGATGCCAGGTTTCTGTGCTTCTAAGATGCCCCTCGCGCCAAGGGCAGCGTCTGTGTCAGCACCGCAGGGGGAAGGGAAGGGAAGCGAGAGGTGGGAAGGCTCCATTAACGGCACGTGTTAATTGTGAGCGATTTTCTAGTTTCAGACGTATTAAAATGTGAGGGAGAATAGGCATCTTAGAATTGTGGAAATAGGGCCATTATTTTTGATAAGATTCTTCCACTGACAAAGAGCCTAACGTGTATGAGCCACAGGATACTGACGAATAAAGCTCGGATTTTTGGTTGGATTCTCATCTGGCTCCGCGGTGGAAAGAGGTAACAAGTGCAGGCCCAGATACCACCCTGGGTGGTCTTGCAGGAAAGCCCAGAGACACTGAGCCTGTGGCTGTCTATATTTTTAGGGCTATTTTGAAACTGACCTTTTTTGTTCATTGCTCCAGTCCGCCAGTCACCCAGTAAGTTGTCTGGTTTTAGAGTGTATTTATTGAACTGTTGAAATGAATGCTAGACTCTGTCTTACAGGAAGAAATTGACAATGAAAAAAAAAAGCAGCATTTAAGACCACAGCTTTGATTGTGATCAACAGTCGGTCCACACTGGCTAGGTGGCGGTGCTTAGTGAATAAGCCACCACAAGGAAAATGAAATTGTCAACAGCATCAATGACCAAACTCTAAATTGTTTAGAATATATCTTACATTTAACTGATCAGAAGTCTGCCTGTTGAGGAAAAGAGATAAATATCCAAACAAGGAGAATAAGAACAAAATGCATTTTAATCCAGTGCTGTGCCCCTCTATCATAAAGTGACTTGATTGTTAACAGTCACTCATCCTTGGGTCTACAGTTATGTCACTGGAGGGAGGTTAACAAGACAAGGACTGTCGTAAAGAAGGGATTTTGGAATTCTCTGTGGAATTCTTGAATTTCTGTATTACAGGTTCTGACGCTTATTATGATACAATTTCTTTTGCCTTTTAGTCTACATTGAAAAGCAAAATACAGTTTTTTGTAATTTGAATCAATAGCAATCAATCAAGAGCCTCTCCAAGGAGACACACGAATCTGGCGTCGCAGCCACAGCACACACTCAGTGGCCCCTGCCTGCCGTCACCTTCCCTGGGGACGCAGAGTGTGGATCCAGAGTCCTGAGTACATCCTAAAACAACTACTGCACACAATTCCTTCCTTGCCCACCCTAATTTCCTGGCCATTATGTGCATTTTCTCAACACAGATTTATTTCTAAAGACATACTATGTAGAAATCTTACATAATTTCCTGAAATAGAGTCTTCAAAAAGCGGTCATTCCTGGCAAAATGGATGTAGCTACAAAGACAGCAATTCATCTTAACACCCCGTCTTTGTGTTCATCCAGTGTGTTTGCACATATATGCATATGGGCACGTTGCGACGTCCATATCCATATATGGACTGGAACATATACATCACCAACCCTCTGTGTTTACGATTCATCACCAAGAAAAATTGAATTCCCAAATTTCCCTTGTTCCACAGTCTGAGGAGATACAGCCTAAGGTTTTTGTTAAATTCAAAAGCTAATGAACCCCCAGACACGGTTTTGAAAGCCACGTCAGAGTAGAAAGCTTTTCTTGCCTGCCTTACCTGGCACTGCCCAGCATTTCAGCCAAGGCCGCCTTTCATGTGTTACCTGGACGGCGGGTTTGAGTGAAAGCTTCACACTTAGACACGCATTGCCGGTGGTGGATTTTCTCTATAAAATAGCCACCCCGATTTCTGCAACCGGAGAGGTGAGACCACTTCTGAAGACACCGGCCATCTTCATGCTGCAGGGTTTCTTATCTTTGAACAATAGACAAGGCGTTCTCACTCTGGCCTGGCGCCTTCGCCAGGCACCGAGATGTGTAATTAAATATTTCTGGAGCCCAGAGGGAGCACATTTACACTTTAAAGAGAAACTGCTAAGAGATAATTAGCATCACATGTGAGGGCTTTGCTTTAAAAACTTCTCTCTGTCTCTCTCTGTCTCTCTCTCTCTCTCTCTCTCTCTCTCTCTCTCTCTCTCGTATTACTCTCTCCCTTCTTGCTGTGTGCAATGGCGCTCACTAACGCTGCTCACGGTAAAACGGACAAACCCTTACCTTGCCAGCTAATTAGCGGTGGCCAGTGTCATTTTTGTGATGTTGCAGCTAGTAATATGAGCCCAGTTGCATAGTCACAAAAGTGATCATTGGAAACTGTGACTGTCCTGCAGGGGGCGATGTGGGAAGCCCCTTTCTGAGACTCTAACGACCTCTGACCTTGCTTGCTGGTGCTTTGCATGACGGTGCACTCTCGCCCGGTGACCCGGGGGTTGGTTTGTATCACTAATCGTTCTTTCTCAGTGAATTCCTGTTGCGGAAGTTTCTATAATATCAACTTTTCTTACTGTGGGAGACCTTTTGCTCACTGATACTTTGTTCTGATGGAGTCAAATGAGGCAGCTGTGTCACCTTCCTGAATAATCCATGGTCTACAGCTTGGGTCAACTGGATGAACTCTTGTGTTCAATATGTCGTGGTTTTGCCTCTCTATTTGTGATGCTTTGCGTGTAACAATACAACTGCAGATCTTTGTAAATAAAGTCCTCAGCTGTGCCACACCCTGTATCTACACTGCACATGTCCTTGACTGCCTGCGGGTTTTTGTAAAAAAGTTAAGCACAAGGTGGGGGCTGGTACGGATATGAAAATTACAGCGAAACCTTCCCAAGGCCACCAGGCACAATATGTCAGAGAAAATGGTATCTTACGTACACCGTGAGATAGACACAGGAGTTTCAGGAGTGGGGAAGCAAGTCGAGGCCATCATAGCCACAAATTCACTCACTAGGAGCATTTCCCAGCCAGGGGGGTTATTACTGCATTTTGCCAAAGCAGGAGCTGGCCATAAGCCACCGCTGTCTACTGACTTCTTACACTGGCCTTTCCTCAAACCAGCACACGTTCTTCAAGCGCACCTGGTTTGGGGGTTGGGGGTTGGTTTGTTTTACTGTTCCTTTTTTTGTGTACTTGGTCTCATGAGGAAAAAATGAGCAACCCCTGGTGACTGACAGGTGTGGACTTCCAGAAGCTGAGTTTAGTCTCTACGTAGAGTGGACCACAAGGCATGAAACACAGCAGGAAGCTGGAGGAACAGAACTGAGGTCGTTCTCATTTGCAAGATTCAGAGGCTGAGCCATGGCCAGTAAACTCCTCTGCCAAAGGCAAAAGGCCTTTCAAAGCAAAGCCACTCACCATTTGGTCTGACAGTTGAGCCTGCTTGATTCTACATGTGCACACGTGTGCACATGCGTGCTCATGTCATGCACATGCGTGCAGTCTCATGCGCACACACATGGTCTTTACCGAGCTGGAGGGCTTCCCATCCCCATGCTGGGGTGCACCCCTGGGGCCTGGTATCCATTCCATCATCAGGAGCCCTCGATGCTTTACAGCCTGAGTCAGGAATGGGACATTTTAGAAGTAGACATGGTGGGTCTGTTTTCCAACCTGTTTATTCTCCAGGGACCAAGAATGTTCAAGGCCTTCTGGCATACAAGTGCTATTACCTTTAAGGAGTTCACTGTTGTGTTCCCCGCCTCTCCCCAAAGCCTTCACACCACCATGTGCCCCAGAAGCAACAGACACCTCTAACAGAAACGGCGATGCGGCCCTGGAGGCCGTTGCTGGTTGTGCTGTGTCTGAGCCCGCCCCATTTTCAGGCATCAGCCTCGTGTTTCACAGACCAGAGGGCAGCACAGATCAAGTGCCTCCTGGCTAGGCTGTGACCGCGGCCCATCTGCAGGTGGGCATCCCGAGTCCAGGCCCCGCAGCTGCTCCTTTAACTCCTGTTGTGCCCTCCACACTGGGCATTCACACTCCCGTCAGAAGGGCCTTGTTCTGATAACTCCTGGGGGAATAGGAAGAGAGGAGGAGAAAGCTCTGTGGTTTGGGTTCCGGCGTATTCAAGCATCCCTCCACTCATTGCTCACTGGACACTCACCTCCCCTCTCCCTCCACGGCCACCCTGCCCCTTCTGGCTTCAAAGGTTTGTAGAAAAGCAACCAGTTGATGGAATGTTTACTTTCCACTGACTATTTGGTGCTGAATAGGCAAGCCTTTGCAAAGAAACGTGACATTTTCCCATTTACGGTCCATACTTCCATTTTTTTACATTTGTTTCTTGTAGGAGTTCACGCAGCACATTTTAGAACACATCCCTTTCACACATGCTTTATTCCAATAACCTGAGATTCTGTCTTTAATTTTACTTATTCAGAAATAGTTCACTGACAACTTTAATGGACTACATAAACAGGTTTAGTTGTTTCACTTAATGTAAAAAAAAAACCTGGAGTTTACAGAGTGAATCTTAAATCAGCCCTCTGTTTTGATTTAGGGGTTGGTTATGAAATCGTAAATGTATGCTCATTTCTAATTTTCACGACTTCTGATCTGAACTCTGCACAATGAAGTTGTTTGTATACTCGAAGCTGTAAACATGGAAAGGACTTGTCTTGGACTTCATGGAGGTTTCTCCGTAATTTAGATATCCCTACCAAAAGCTGGCAGGCCACAGATGCCCTTGAAGATGCTGTTTTTAGATAGTACAGAAATAACAGTTTCCAATACGATGTCTGGACCGTAAGAAATGTTGAGCATAAATTGCAAAATTCAAAAATTTTAGTGAAGAATCAAGATGTAGTGTAACGAAAGGTCAAGACAACATAAGCAGAAACAGAAAGAGGAGAGCCTGCAGGGGTGGGGCGGGCGGGACAGGCCAGGAGTCCACTGGTTCAAAGCCTGGCACCCCTCCTTGAAAGGAGAAAGCAGTGTAAAGGGGTAACATTGGTTTTAAAGCTCCGATTAATAACGTCATGTTGAGAAGAAGAATAAATGTTTGATATTATGTGTATAATTTTCATTTTCTCTGTCAAAACAAGCGATTGCAAAATGATTTCAAACACACAGACCTTGGGCTTTGTTTTAATAGTTGTTTTGGATTAACGCAAAGTCTTAGTACACAACTAAAATTTTTATCTCTCTTTTTATTTCAGAAAAGTAAACAAGTGCTACAGGGGCCGTTCTTGTCCAATCATTGTTCATTGCAGGCAAGTACAACTTTTAATGAATTAAGAAGTTTTGGCTACCTCAAAAAACAATCTATGCAAGAAGCTTAACTTTCTAATTGCTTAATAACTATAACTAACTGGCACTTCTAAAGGAAACCAAACATATAAACTTACTTTTCTGTGCCATTTGGGTAAATACAACTGGGCGTTGCTTGTATTATGTGTATATAATGGCTTGCTTTTTTTTTGCTAAAATGCACATGGCTTCCTTTTTTTTTTTTTTTTAAACTCTATCGCCCAGGCTGCAGTGCAATGGCATGATCTCGGGCTCACTGCAACTTCCACCTCCTGGGATCAAGCGATTCTCCTGCCTCAGCCTCCCGAGTAGCTGGGATTACAGGCACCCGCCACCACGCCTGGCTAATCTTTTTGTATTTTTAGTAGAGAGGAGGTTTCACCATTTGATCAGGCTGGTCTTGAACTCCTGACCTCGAATGATCCGCCCACCTCGGCCTCCCAAAGTGCTGGGATTACAGGCATGAGCCACCGCGCCTGGCCTCACATAGCACATTTTCTAGCAGCTCACGGTGCAGTATCTTGCCTTCTACTCACCCATGAGCATATCCTGCCACCTTAACTGTTCTTAAACCCTATGGTGCCGTGACACAGAAACATCGAGACAATGTTTTCAGCCTGTTGCATTGTCTCAGCCACCAGGATGTTCAGCAGAGGCTCAGAACCCTCTGCAGATGGTGAGAAATGCTGGGGACCGGTTACGAACAGGGACGAAATCTGTCATTACAGGAGGTACAGCCACCTCCAGTTTATCATGTGGGTTCAGGCCTCTTGGTAAAAATTCAGTGACTCATATCCTTAAGTATGTTAAAACCACACCATTAAGAATAGATTTTTATGCAACGAAAACTCAACCTAATAGTACTGTCTCTGCTGGACTTGATACCCAACTACTTTTGGTGAAGAACTCATATTCCATTTTTCTAGAAGTGTCTTATAGAATGTTCCTCCTGCCTGGAATAAAAAGGAAATCTGTCTCCAAAGAACAAACACCAAATCTGTCAAATCCAATCAAGAGGCATGTGTGTTTTGTGTGCACATTCCTGTCTATGAGAGAGGAGGATGAAAATAGATTATGGTCTGTTGTCCTCAAAGAGTAGAGTAGAACATCTTTTACCCACAAATGTATCAAGACAAGCTACACTTAGCTGGAAGATTTTTGTAGTAGATCTTAAAATATTCATGTGAATATATGCTGTGCACAGAAGACAAGTGAGAAACGCACTCAGCAACCACAATGCTCGCCGCGGCCCTTTGAAATGAGCCGTGAGGGTTACATGCGGCCCAGGCCGACCACTTCTCCTCCTTGGTGATGCAGTGAGGGTGTGAGGATGTGAACGAGATGTTTTTGAAACATTTACCGTCCCAACTACAGCATTTTTCAACCATTTGTTTGAGGAAACAGGTTAAAGCCAAAATGTACTGATTCTTTACGCTCAAAAACTCACCTCTAGGGTTCCACCGTTTCTTGGGATTATAGACAGCATAGAAAGCAGAACGGAAAGCGTGCATCTGCTGGGTAGTCACGTCTTTCTTGAAGTCTTGAGAGGGAAACATTTATTCTTTTTCCAGAAAGTCACAATTGACTTTGCTAGGACTGTAAACGTAAAAGGTCCTCCATTTAAAAGCCAGTCGTGGGTGTGAGCCCAAGCCCCATGTACTTTTAAGTAGGCCTCTCAAACTCGTGCAACCCAGTGACAGTGTCTGCACGGGGGGAGGAAATGGCTTCACACATTCCCCCTGAGGAAAGGATGGTGCTGAGGCTACTCTTCTTCCAGAAGAAAAACGGATTTTTTTTTCCCTTTGCTACTGTTGAGGTATTATTCAAAACATTTTTACAACTCTAGCCCAGATGGTAAATATTCCAATTATAGCTGGTGGGATGAGAAAGAGATGAAATGAGAGTGCTTTTTAAAGAATATGATTGAGTAACGACTGTTATGTCAATTTCTCCTTCTGAGAGGGAGGACCTGCGTTTGGAAAGGGCGGCAGGCAGCCTAGGGGGATGTGCCCAAAGTGTCCCTGCCTGCATGAGCCAGTGGAGTCCAGCCGCCCAGCACCCTCCCCTCTCGTCGGGAGGTTGCCCGGCAACCCTAGAGAAAGCACCTTGCAGATATCTTCCATACAAATGCCATCAACTCTGACACAGTCCAACACTTAGTTCATTTTGTTCCGGCAAAATGTTCCACGTCTTTGGCCAAAGAGGTGGGAACAAGCAAGAGGGAAACAGACCTGAGCACAGCAGCTCGTCCCACCAGCTGCTCAGAGGCTCGAAGCCCCCAGCGGCCTCCCTTCGCCCTCACTTGGATTCTCCCAGCCCGCGTCCTTCCTCCCCCGCTCTCATCCGCCATCCTTCTTTCCTCTCGCCGGCCCCACTTAAGCGTGAAGGAAATGGACTGTCACTAGCTGTGCGGTGGGTCGGGCTTCCGTGTGGACGGCAACTGTCATTTCTCTCCTTCTGTTGGCAGTGACGGTGCAGGCCGGAGCGGCACCTACGTCCTGATCGACATGGTTCTCAACAAGATGGCCAAAGGTGAGACGCAGACACTGCGGCTTTGTTGTGGCTCAGAGCTGGGATGGCGTTGCTGTGGCAACGTAGGGTGCAGTGTTCACGGGAGGCCCCGGAAAAAATTCGCTGATTGTTGTCCCTCTGCTGGGCCATAGGAAGGTGGTTTGCAGCGAGCACATTTGCTTCTGAGACTGGTCCTTCGTTACCTGCCTCTGTGTGCCGAGCACACGGTGGGTCCTTGACAGGTGCTTGCCGCACACGCCGCAGCGTTAACCTCACAGCCGCGGAGAAGCCACCCTCGGGCCCTTCAGTGTCCTTGCGGTGCAGAACGTTGCTCAGTATTCGATGTAACTTCACTGTTGTTAAAACGGTATTTGCAGTAGAGTCACACTAAAAATATCCGTTAGTAATTGCCATCAAATGTCAATCACCCCATCTCAAATGAGCCTTTCAGCCCTTTTTGTGAATGTCCTTCTTATCTAGGGAACCTCTGTGTGTGCTATGGGAGGCTTTCCTCTCGGAGACGGCGTGGGG